GGCCAAGAGCAAGAGCAATAATAACAAGAATGACGACGACAACGTGGACAGCACCGAGGTTGCTGGGAAGCGACAAAGGCGCTCACGTTCCACCCCTATTCAATACACCGATCCCGTTAGTGACCAAGGTGAGGATTCTGAAGACCTGATCGAATACACCGTACCCGTTCGCAAAAGCACGAGGAAGAGAAAGGCCACCCGCAAGGCAGCAACTCGTCGCAAGAAATCCGTGACTGATGTGGCTGACGACGACAGCGACAATGAAGCGGAACCGGTTGCCGCCGCGAATCCTGATACATCCATTTTGGAGCAGAAGTTGCTCGAGTCAGACATTCTATTGAAGCAAGAACAACTGAGGAGTATCAAAGCTGAACGTGCGTTGCAAGAAGGGAAGGATTTGGTTGCGAAACTACAGGCAAAGCTTGAACGATACCAGGGAAAGCCACCACCCCCCGGTTATCAACCCGATGATGATTCAACCTTACGGGAGGAGTTAAACCGCGTGAAGGAAGAGCGAAACAGCTACAAGCACCGGCTGGATGCCAGAATTGATCAAGGAGCCAGAGTGCAGGAGCTCTACAGACAAAACAAACTACTTCGAGAACAACTGCAAGAGCAAGGGGGAGAACCCATGTCTGTGTTGCTCAAACGAGTGGACAAGCTGGAAGCAAGAATCAAGAGGCGTGATATGACAATTCTCAAGTTGGAACAAGCGGCACCCAATGACACCTTGTCCACTGCTGAACCTGTTGCAGCTGTGAGCCCCGAAAAGGCCACGGACGGTGAAATCATCCAATCCATTTGAATGGCCAAAGAATCTCACGGGCCCCACGACAGCCCACGCACCATGAAGCTATAATCCTGTTTCACCCAACAATTCGATTTAAGCAAAACATCTATAGGAAACCTTCTTTCCTTCTATCATAATTCGTGCTGCATTTGTGATGAAGGGAGTTCGGTGATGCTGTCAACAACATGAACATACCGGTACAGTACAAGCGTATGTTTTGTACCGAGGGAGACTGGCTGCTCTTTTGAGCCCATGAACGTTTGAACACGCCTTGGTTCTCGGTTTGCTTCTTGTACTCATCGCCCTGTTTGACTGCGTCCTTCGAGCCAGTTTCGTCACCACCAGAGATTGAATCCAGCGGAGACACACACCGCTGTTTGTATTGTCCTCAAACTACCTAATTTGGACCCCAGCTCATGTAAGAAGGACTAGCACAAGTTTTGCTCTTGATGACAGATTGGTCGGATGTGGGCGTTAGTAACTGGCTGCTTCCCGCCTGCAAGGAGGACTAGCTGCTTCCCCCCACCCGCGATTGCGAATATCCGAAGCATGGGGAACGGTCCAAGTTACCATTGCGTTGCACAAAAGGCATATTCAATATTCACGAAAGACAGGTTTATCCATCTACCTACATCTTGGGTTTGCCGCATGCGCCCTTTTGAGGAATACACCTTCGGCCATGCTCTGTACCAACGATTGTTGTAATTCCTGTCCCATCCATCAAGCGCATGAGCTGGTAGTGTGACAATCGTTCGTGTTTGTCGGGCAAGTGACGCATCTTCTCATGAAATCCACAGGCATACCAAAAGATTGCCCGTCGTTCTCGGCAAAGGGGATAGTGGGGTGGCAAGCCCGGTTTGAAGTTGGGTCCGGCATTTTCGTCGCAGCAGGCGTCTTGCTCGTGCACCGTCAGGACATTTGGAAATTCATCTTGCAACAAAAAAGTGCCTCGTTGTGGATCCATCCCCTTGACATCTGATTCGTGAGGAATGGGTTGCCAACGATGTGGGAGTATGACCCCACCCTTGTCCACTTCTTCCTTTATGGCAGGCAAGGATCCCGGTCGAGTTGTTAGGATGGTATCAGGCTCTGTGAGGTACACATATTGCCAAAAGGATGGATCGTGAGTAATTCCTAGCCAGGCAGTGACGTTTTGGTGCATTTCCATGGTCCATTCTTTCTTGGGTACTTGCAAAGTATGATTCAAGGCTTGCTGCAAAGTCATCAAGGTCGATCTGGGCATGTTCTTGTTCAATAGCTTTGTCTTGATGAACTCAGCAGAGCTGAAAGCATAGGCCACCTCCATGTGACCAATGGTGCTGATCAGATTACTCTCATTCGAGTTATCCTCTTGGTTCGGAGGGTCGACTTGCTGTTTCAGGAATCGGAAGGCATCTTGGACGGGCGCAATATCAGCATCTACGAGAATCCCCACCACAACCCGGCCCATTCCAGCCCTTCGGAGTGACTCCATCGTGGCTGCAAGAGATAGTGCTGTCAGGTTGTGTCCCAGTTGTGGGTTGGTCGCATGCTTGTAGGACTGAAAGGCAATCACGGCCAGCGTGTTTTGGAGAACTCTTTCTCCTTGCAAATTGTTGTCATTGTTGTGTGCCGTTACAGCAGCGGAAGAAATGTAGTTGCGAAGCTTGCTGGAAATCGAATCATAGGCAATAGTATCATTCTGGTGCAGGTCCCATTCCAAAATTTTCCACCATCGGGACAAGTGCTCGACCGACCAGTCCATCCAATCGTAGGTCATGCGCATTTTGGGAAGACGACTGCCATCATAGGCTCGAAAGGAAGCCATTTCGCAACTGTGGACCCGATCAAATGGCATGGTCATGAAATCAGCGCGAGATTGCAACCACGAGGCAGAAAATCCATCAAGACGATGGAGGCGGGAACTGTTCAAAAAGTGAACCTGATTTGTCGCAATCTTGATGGACGAAGTGCGATTTTTGGTTGGGACATGGAGGGATCTGGCAGATACATTTGCAATGGCTGAATTCTCGACAGAATGTGCAGCGGTCTCGAGCAAGAAATCAGAGGGTATATCTTGTCGCTGTCGGAACAACACCAAGAATGTCAGCCAAGCAAAAAATGTGGCAAAGAACCAAACTCTGTAGACCTGGAATGCTCGTTCAGCTCTTTGACGAGTGGTTCTGCTGCCTGGTTGTGGGGTTGTCATGGTGGAATGTATGGGAAGTTTTTGTGCTATTTTTGATTCTAGCTCTAGGATACCGGTACGTGTAGCAGTTGTGAGATCATTTTACTTTGAGCTCATTCGAATGACCAATGCCAAGATACCATGCTAGCATGGCTGTGCGGGGGATCTCGGATGGAACGAGGATCTTCGGATCTTTCGCTTTGGATAGTACAGTAGAGTTCAGGTTGACATCGCAGACCTATCACAAGGCCTAATATTGGCTGCGAGAGGCACGAGGGATTTAGAGGTACCATTCGGAAGACTGCTTGGAGAAAGTTAAAAACAGAATTCAATGGACGCTGGAAGCTGGAAGCCTTGCGAACTTGCGAAGGGTCATTCTGATCATGGTCTTACGTTCGTTCTGCTGCTGAAAGAAGAAAAGGGGAGTGGGAGAGTGCGTGTGGTGGTTTCGTGCCATGCTGCGTCGGGTTGTGGAGGCCCTGGGGTTGCCTCCTCATACACCTGCCACAGTTGTATGAAGGAGATTCCCTTCAGGGCTGATATCTACTAGTAGTAGATCTCATTGACCGTTCTTTTTCAAAAGTTGGTTCCATTTGACGATTGAAAGAAAGGATGAACGTAGCGGAGGCTGAGATAGACCAGGTGGATCGCCCAATTGAAGAGGTGCGGAGCTGCACAAGATAATGATGGGAATGAAGCAGCAGAAGATGATGGGAACGAGGAAAACCAGCAGCAACGCCCAGTGCCTCCTGCGATGGATGCATCCATGGTCCTGACAAATCAAGAACGTGAATGGGCTCGGGCCATCAAAACTGCCATTGAGAGCTGCCCTGATCTGGACAAACTCTCTGATTTTGAGTACTGCCAGTTGGCAATTATTGAACGAGACGATGTGGGAGCTGCTGTTGATAGAGCCATATTCTTACAGGGATTTTGGCAGGAATATGATATTCAAAACACTCTGGAAGATGCACTAGTGGCTTTGCGCAACCATGTTTTTTTGATGCCCCAATTCTACCTTGATTTTCGCTACAACCTCTCCACCGGTGGATATGCCGCTATTGATATGAGACGCTGTGATCTGAAGACACTGAGAACAGAGAAAGGTTGGAAAATGCATGCTGCAGGCAATTACTACATGTTGCATGCCATGGGCCCAGACTTTCACAGTATTCAAACTGGGGTCACATTTATGTTCGAGTGTGATAGATTCAGTATGGCCTCCAACTTGGACTTCAAGATTACCAGGAAACTCAGCACAGAATTGTTCACTGTGTACCCTTTTACCGCTGACAAAATGAACTTCTTCCATACTGGCCTCTTCTCCAGCATGCTGATCTCCTCATGTCGCATGGTGTTGCCCAAGTCAATTGCTTCCAAATCCATGTGGGTTGCATCTTCCCTGATGGTCGCTTGAGCCAATTTTACAATACACCTGATCCACAAACTACAATGGAACGAACGATTGAGCTCATGCAAAAGAGTGTTCGGAGGCGATACACAATGCAAGCTGTGTTTAAAATGGATTGAAGTAATGATATCTTAATAATAGCTTTGTTGATATGATGTACCATATATCGGACAAATGCAATTGATCCAAGTTCATTACGGGTTTCATGATGGTGCCCGATATTTAAAGTTTGCAATCCAAAGCATACTGGTAGGGAACACTGAATGGAGAGGCACAACCATCACAAAGAGCAGGAAGGGCTGGGGGGTAAGATGGTTCGGGAGAAAAAGGGCATCAACGAGGAGCCAAGCGATTGAGACAGGATTTATCGTGCTTGTCTGGTGTGGCTTGGTAGGTTTTGCACGCGACGGTCTAGAGGTGGTGCCATCTGATCCATCCCAGCAGGTACCATAGTGTCTAGACACTCCAAGGTTTTGTTGGCAAGCTAGTCGCTTCAAATTCTAAAGGAATACCAGGCCCTGAAGGCCCGTCAATCCCTGGGCACACCATGCCCAACTCCTCCAGGACCTACTGATGTAGTCTACTTTCACAAAACCCACGCACCTGGGCCAATTGCAGGATCTCTACTATTAATAGTCTAGCTAGCTAGTACTAGATATCTCTGGGGTTTTAATTAGAGTAGCTATTAGAGTTCAGGTTGTCATGTGTTCTGAAAGTCATTATTTATGAGGGAAAGGGGCGTTTATTAGACTAGCTGAAGGAGTTGAGAAAGGTCGACAGTCGACAGGCTGAACGGATGTTTTGGAGCAGCCACCCAGGGTTTCTAAAAACCTTGCGAGGACCAAGCTTCCTGGCTTGTTGTGTTGTGGATGGTGATCCTAGCTAGCTACTAGAGTTGCCTCATCCTAGCTAGAGTCGCCTCATACACCTGCCACATTTGTTTGAAGGAGTTTCCCTTGAGGGCTGCTAGCTAGCTAATAGTAGTAGATCTCCTCTACCGTTCCTTCAATTTCGTTCGATTTGAAGATTGAAAGCAAGGATGAACATAGGAGCCGAAGCACCAATAGACCAAGTGGCTGTAAGAGCAAATGAAGACGTCGAAGGGGAGAATCCCCCAAATGAAGAGGTGAGGCCCCGAAACGAGGATGCCCCTGCTCCTGCTCCAGAAGAAGAAGATGGAAGCCAAGAAAACCAACGACCTGAAAACGAGAATGCTGCTCCGGAAGAAGATGATGGGAACGAAGAAAACCATCAGCCCCAAAACGAGGATGCTGCTCCTGCGGCAGAAGAAGATGATGCGAACGAAGAAAATCAGCAGCAACGTCCAGTGCCCCCTCCAGTGGATCGGTCCATAGACCTTACAAATCAAGAACGCCAATGGGCTCGGACCATCAAAGCAGCCATTGAGAGCTGCCCTGATCTGGACAAACTCTCTGATTTTGAGTACTGCCAGTTGGCAATTATTGATCAGGGTAATGTGGGAGCTGCTGTTGACAGAGCCGTATCCTTACAGGGATTTCGGCAGGAATATGATATTCCAAATACTCTGGAAGATGCACTAGTGGCTTTGCGCAACCATGTATTATTGATGCCCCAATTATTCCTTTTTTTCGACTACAACCACTCCTCTGGTGGATACACCCTTATTGAAGATATGAGAGGCTGTGATCTGCAGATACTGAGAACAGAGAAAGGTTGGAAAACACATGTTGCAGGCCTCTACTATATGTTGCATGCCATGGGCCCAGACTTCCACAGTATTCGAACTGGGATCACATATGTGTTTGAGTGTGATAGATTCAGTTTGGCCTCCAACTTGGACTTCAAGATTACAAAGAAGGTCTGCACAGATGTGTTCTGTGTGTACCCTTTTACCACTCACAAGCTGAACTTCTTTCATACTGGCCTCTTTGCCAACATGCTGATCTCCTCATGTCGCACGGTGTTGCCCAAGTCAATTGCTTCCAAATTCCATGTTGGTTGTGTGTTCCCTGATGGTCGCTTGAGCCAATTTTACAATACACCTGATCCACAAACTGCAATGGAACGAACAATCGGGAACATGCAAAAGAGTGTTCGGAGACGATACGCAATGCAAGCTGCGTTTCAAGTGGATTGCACTAATCATATGTAAATAATTGCTTTGTTGCTCTGATGTACTATATCTAAATGTTACTTTGTGGATAGGTAGCTACAGTAGCTACCCAGCTTTATAAGAGGAGAGTAGTATCCAATTTAATTTAGAAATGTCAACATTGTTGACCGAGCACGCAAAGCTTGGGGCAAATCTTTGGCGGGGTAGGAAGCGCAGTCCAAATTGGTGACACACACATCTATAGCTGTAGTACGGCACCACGTTCGGATAAGCCCCGGAAGGAAAATCACCGCGCACAAGGTCAGGACTACCCAGCCACTCTTGGACCTGGTAGTCCCACATCTGGACGTCCAACACCTCTCTAGGACAACTCCAGGATTTCCTCACACACCATGGCTCAGCACCAGGACCTACAGTAGCACTACCGGTACACTTGCCCTATCGCCCGCGTCTATGCCAGCCCCGACAGGTCCCAGACCAGGACACCACCGCTTTTCAAGACATGGGGGAAAAGGTGATGATCCTCTGGCTCTAAAAGCAAAGGAGATTATTCGTAGACCACAACCACTTCGTAGGAAATGCAATTCTGGCTTGGAGAGCTGAAACTACAAGAAAGTATTCATTGAACTGAATTCATCTGACAAGCCCAAACTCTATGGATGTAGTCTCATTTAGTAACCAATGTCGTTGCTTATGTTTTTGTTACAGCACCATGAACAGAGAAAGAAAAATACGGTGTGTACTTAAAAGAAGAGACCTCCCTCGTCTTCATCATCATCATCATCGCAAAGCGGGTACACCACCATCCCACTGTTGGGATACCATAAACCACTCTCCTCACGACGAGGGGCATTGACACTCAAGTCGTCATCATCGTCATCAGACGATGTACTGGAATCATCCGAGTACGACAAGGAGTCATCGTCTTCTTCGCTTCGTTCTCGCAAGCTCAAAAAGGTATCATCCAAGTCCAGAATACTGCTGCATCGACTGCTGTTGCTGCTATCAAAGCAACTGACGGAGGATGATGCAGGAATGTCATGGACCAAAGAGAAGAGGGTATCTGACTGTGATAGTTTGCCAATAGATCGACTCTTTCGCCGTCTTTGCAGAGAGCAATGACTGGAATCGGACGAAACGGAAATGGAGGAACAAACCACCGAAGAAGATGTGGTTGTGGTGGAAATGGTAGTCGGGAGAGGAGAAGAACTTGGAGAAATTTGGATGCTACTACTAGAACTGGCAGTGGAAGATTCAGAGCAGGGGGCTGCCGGTGAGGCGGCAGTAGTGTGGTTCTGCAAGGTAGAAAGTGAGAATAATCTTCTCTTTTTCGTTTGAGAGGAAAACAAGCTGGAAGAATCGTGGGTAGCCTCCCAACTGCTGCTGTCGGTGGGAAGAGTTCCTGATGGCAAGCTGTCCTTGCCATCCGAGCTGCGATCTTCTCGGTCCAATGTAGCAACATCCGAAAACATGCAGGACAAGGACCGTGTAATAAAGGTAGAGAGATCCTTAGTAGTAGTGGATCGTTTGGATGGTACCTCTTCTGGTTCCACAGAACGCTTCCGGCGGAGATTGACCGTTGGATTCTCACTTCTCCCCCTCATGGAGGAAGAATTCATGGTATTAGTAGTTGTGGATCCTTGCGAGTTATCTTGTATCATGGCTGCAGGATTATGAGAAGTACCGTAGGCAAATGTAAGGTACCTCTGCTAACTGTGGTATGATGCCTGAGATGATAGCGCTCTCGAGAAGGGTCTTTTATAGTCTTCTACCGCTGGGCAAGGTTAGGCTAGAATGACTGACCAATGCTGTGGTTAAAAAGGTGCTCGATGAATGCTACCGAAGTGATAATGAGCGGAAGAGAACACAAGGAAACTAACGCAGCAAATTTTGGTGCCAGTGGCGGCCTGCTGCTCTTGTGAAACATTGTCCCTCATCAGGACAATGCCATGGCAAGACGTAGTATCATTGGCCGGAACACGTGCGATGTTTACCTCCCAACAGCAACCTGCGAAGAAAAGCAGCAGTAGAAGGACACACCGCAATTGGCGTCGTGGCCCGCAGTTGACGAACCAGATCTACAACTACCCAACACCCAAACCTCTCTTCTTATAATTACCATGGCTCCAAAGCGGTGCATCATCGACCATCCCGCCCAAGTGAAACCAGCTTGGAACCATACCAGCGCAGAAGAACGGCCTTCGTTGTGGGTAAAACGTGTGACGTGTAGTGTGGGATGGTGTTACGTCATTCTCGAGACGTCCCTCGAGATTTTTATTCGCGTCATCAAAGCAGATTGTCGTGGATACTTTATGCATGACTGAATGTCACTATTAAATAGCCAGCTGCCAAGAGCCAAGAGCCTTCCTCCTTTTTCT